CCACCGGAGGAGCAGCTCACCTGAGAGACGGAGCCCCGGCTCGCCCGTGTGCAGAGGTAGCGAGCCCAACCCTCCCGTCCTCCCGGGCTGCGTCTCCCCGACGGTGCCCTCCGTGGAAACTTCAGCCTCTTCGGGCTTCTCTTTGCTAGTGCATTATCGAAGGTGTGAAAGTGGCTTTGGGAATCTCACCCCCCTGCGGTCGCTGCGGGGCTTGGAGGAGCGAACTGAAAAGCAACTTTTATTTGACCCTCATGCCGCCCCTCAGATTTTCTCTTCCATCACTCGCCTGCTTCGAGAGGTTTTTCAGTTTAAGAGCTGGCTAGCTCATTCGTGTGTTTGCTGTTTGTAGCCGGGGAAAGAGGAGCTGGGCGAAACACTTAAACACGCACACAAACTCTTCAGCAGCGGATAAGGTGGTGGTTGTAATCTCTACAGTCTCTTTGTGCTTTCCTGCAAAGTTCCTAACGTGCCTATAACTACCGGGATAATTTTTTTTATTTTTTAGAGGGATGGTGGCATTAGTTATGATGTAAGGATATCGGCTGGATGTAATGATATCTGCTAGAGGGGACAGTTTTGAATGTGCAATTGAAGTGTATACGGTTTTTTCCCTCAGTTCTCCCTCCCTCTCTCTCCCTCCCTCTCTCCCCTCCTCCACCCCCCTCTCCCTCTCTCTCTCCCTCTCTCTCTCCCCCTCCCCTTTATATATTCATGCATCAGAGCACTCCTGCACTGGAAACAGTTTATGCTCAACTGGAGATTTTCATGGTAAATTTCTGAAAACTTATTTGTGGAACGTGTTCGCTTTTTCCTTCCATTTTTAAGTACACTTAACAGTTCAGTTGAGCTGTTGAAGGATCTCAAGTTTCTTTTTTGTTAGGTGTCAAAGGTAATGGTGAGCTGGTGGATGCTGTGGGTTACCCTTAGTGTTTTCTGTTTTGCTTTGGTTTTGTTTATGTCTAGGGACACAGTGCATGATCTAGTTGAGCCCTGGGGGAGAAAAGGAAGATTAGCCAAAACAGAGACTTAAAGCTCATAAGGGAGAGTGGAATAGCTAATATTATTAGATACCAGCCTAGAGCTGCAGATGCTGCTGCTGCATTGTGGAGGGAACAGATCATGCTGGGTGGAAAAATCTCTGCTTGGAAGGGAAACACTGTCAAAGTCTGTACATTGTTTATGTGGTATGTGGAATTTTTGTTTTTTTAATGGAGTTTTCTTGAAGGTGTTAGAGTTGGAGAAAGTGGTTGTCTGCGTTATGATACATTGCAGTCTTGGTGTTTTTGTTTTAATATTTCAGACCTGTAATTAGCATGTTGCTAACGCACTTGTTTTCTGACCACTTGATGTTGAACCAGTGTAGGATGTAGTGCAGTGGGATGAGTACATGAGCACCAAGAAATACATCCTGTAATCTGTATGCACTGGGAGGAATATGCTCCTCCACTCCTCCCCCAGGTCAAGCCAGCTGCTGCAGAAACTGACATCCTCCAGCAAATCCTGAATGAATGAATGAAAACAACGTGATCGCCCTAATAATGACCACAACTGAACACACATCTTTGGCTGTATTTTATAGAAAAGGCCACCATTTTCTAACAGATTAATGCCATATGCAACTCTTGCACATTTTCTACAACTGTATGAAATGAGAAATAAGAGAATGAACAGAAAACAGTTACATAAATTTTTTTAGTGATTTTGCTTCAACAGTGCACAAATTGAGTTTTGGGATTTTCTTGTAGGTACTAAGAGGCATAAAATAAGCATTGCAGATTGTGGGTCTTGTGGATGTGAGTAAGAGAAGTTTCAGCAATTGCTGCAACAACGTAATGGTCATCTAGTACCCTTCTCCCCTTTTGTATATAAACACTAACATCTTACAACAGATAATAGTACAACTTGTTTTTCTGCATCCTTCAAAAGGCTTAATTGCTTAGGAATTACATGCTCCATCATCAAGCAGTTTTAATGAAATTTGTGATCTGGCTTAAACTATTCTCTTTGTTGTAGTATGGCACATCCGAGTTTAATGCGATTTTAATGCAATCATGATGAAAACACTTTTCTGAGTCTGGTTGTGCAGCAGAGAGATTTGCAGTGTCAGAGAGCTTGTGTTGGGAATGCAAGGGCTTTCTTTGCTAGAGATGTTTTTCTACTGTTTTAAACACCAGGTGGTTTTGTCAGCTTTTTACATTGAAGTGATTTTTGAATGCGGGCTTCTGTACCCCCAGTTCCGTGATTATATTACTCCTATGTTACTTCTCCATGTCCCGCCTTTTACCCCCGCTACCCAAATTAAAACTGTCCTACTAATCTGTTTCCTTAGCCATTTAAAATCTATGATCTGAACAGTTGATTTAATTTTTAGAATGATTGTCTTCTCACTTTCTTTTGAATGCTGTAAGGTTCTGACTTGAGTGGATTTTAGCCTCCACTGGTCAAGGCTCCTGCCGCTGCCACTGCTGCTGCAGACACTGACATCACTATACTGCATGAATGAAAAACAACAACGTGCTCCATTTCTTCCTCTGCTCTCCACCTCCTCCTTTTTCTGCACACTTCAGTGTATGTGGGGGTGTGTGTGTGTGCACGCAAGAGGGTGTTAAAACTGCGTTTGAAACTACATTTTAAAACATTAAGTAGTTGATGGCTCAAGGGGTAGGTATATAGTATAAAGGCATATTGTTTATGAAAAACCGCAAGTGCTGTGGGCATTTGGACTAAAGGTGACATAACTGAGCATTCAGTATTTCATGCATTTCATCTGGAGTGATGATTATAGGAGAAAATAGGGAAGCTTAAAATTTTTTTATGATTCTTTTACCAAAAAATTATGAAACAACACAATTTCTAAATATTATGTCATTATCTGCGTCTTAAGCATTCTTAATGTGAATATTTGTAGGGCTGAGGCTAGAGTAACAGAGAATTGATATCAGATTGTTTCACAAGGCTGAGGAAAAGCTGAATTCTATAAATAGGAATAGTCAATTTTAATATTATTATACTATTAATTTATACAACCCAGGAAAAAATGGTAATTTCCTTTATTTTTGTAGCATAGTTTTAAATAATTTAAATGGTTACCATAATAGAAATACATAAATTGCCAAACACCTTGCTGTATATATAGAGGACATGGAATTTTACAAATTGAAACTGTTTTGTTTGTGCTCATGGATCATCCTCTTTTTGCTTGTTTTCTTTTTTTCTTTTGTATTTTTAAAACTTCAAGGTTTGTTATTTACATTCGTTTCTGTACTTTTGCCATTAGTAAAATGTCATCCTCCCTCTTGTTTGGTTCTGAAGGGTCTTGCAGTGGTGAATGACAGGCTGCTGAATGAATCCTCAGGCTCCCTGTGATGTGTTTGTAATAGATGTAAAATCATAAAGTATTATGCAAATAGTTATTTTTTTGTAATGGTAATACATAAAGTCTACCTTTGAGATAAATAGAGCAACTCAAATGAGAAAAAGCAGGATGTTAGTGTTAAAATTAATGATCTTTAAGCTAAAATCATTAGTAACAACCAAAGGAAAATATAATAAAGTTGCTTCTTTTTGAAACCTCACAGAGCAGAACCCATGGATTTAAACATAGAACAAATATAGTTTTACTGTCCAAGATAGTAAGTAGGAAATGCAAATCTTTGTGTGTGTGTGTGTGTGTGTGTGTGTGTGTGTTTTGTAAAGATAGAGCATTAGGATGAATTATAAGTTCTAAAAGATGTAATAACAGTCATATTTAGAGTACTCTGGATGGAGAATACAGCTTATTTTTAAGTGTACCAAATCTAATAAAAACATGGAAGAGCTTGTAATTTATATAACTCCTGTTATGAAAAATAGCATGTGTTGGTTCCTGATTTAACATATCAGGTTTATTTAGGCCTAATACGCTACCAGATTGCTAACTCTAGAGTGAAATTTAATTAGACTTTTTCATGAGCATCTTGAGAGCCACATTGTTTTATACATAAAGAAGTTATGATTCTATTCTAAGAGATAATACAAATATAATGTTAACCGCATGTAATATGTTTGCCTGTTAATTCATTTGCTTTCAGTTTTTATCTTTTCCTTAAATGTATCTTTTTAAGTCATTTTTATACTGTTCTCAGTGGAATACAAAACATTTTAATAACTTTTTCTCTTTTGAAAGAGATACTCAGATATTCTCTTTCTATAAAGTTTATTCTCAGGCTGATATTCTTGGAAATTAAGATCCTCCCTTTCCATTTTAAAATTAATTAATTTTCCTAGAGTGCTTATAGAAACTTGTTTCAAAGCTTTCTTCTACTAGAGTGAAAATACATTAACATTTTAGCTTTTTCTAAATAAACAGGTTTCACATACTGACTTTTGGGAAAGGTTTTCATTCTCAGAAAACTATACTAGAGAGCAGCGGTGTTCATTATTTACAGAACTAATTTTTTCCATCAGTTATCTCATGGTGCCTAAAATTTCTAGATCAATGAGTGAATAGCAAAATAGATAAATGAATTTATAGTTATTTAATCAAAATCTGTCTTATATTCAAAGATTATATTCCTCTCAAATAACTGTTATTCTAGCTGTATTGAATATTGAATACCTAGCATGTGTGAATCACCTTAATCAGTTTTTAACTTATGTAAAGTTCTGTGTGTATATATTGAACTGGAAATCATTTTATTAATTACAGTACTTTTTACTGAAGAACTGCATTGTACATTTCTGCAAGGACTTAATGCAAATTAGCATTTGTACTTTGGGGAAATGTTGAAGGATAATGGCATCCTTGTGATTTTTATTTTACTTGTGATAAGTCAGACTACATGTGAATAAGAAAATAAAGGAGTAACTGGGCTCCACAGCAGTGAATAGAATGGAAATAAATGACAGTGTTCAACAAATGGCTAGTCGGAGAGGGTTTTCCTTAGTCTGAAATTTTAAAAAATTCTAGAAGTCTGTTTTATTAAAACATTCACAGGTAGTTAATAATCCGCTAAAGAGTATATTCTAATGACTTAGTTCTTCTTAATTTTAGTTTGGTCTTTTCTCCAGAACTTAA